CCCGCCTCGGCCTCCCAGAGTGCTAACGAAGGTCAATTTTTAAGAATTTTGTGACCTAGTTGTCAAACATAATTCTTACTAAACATTAAATTATATAAATTTACAATTAAATCGATTATATTAAAAACAAAGGAAATAGTACTCAAAACGCGTCATTTCCTAATTATCTCAGTACACTTTACTACCAGTGAAGTGTAGGGAGATATTTACACCTATTGAGTCTGTGTGGTAGAAAGAACTGCTCATGTCTTCCCAACTCCATGCTCAGTGACATCTCATTGGTAGCTTGAAATCAGCCATAGAGTATTTACAGTACAGAAATTGTCAAATAGTACCAATTAGCACTCCCTGCTTCCCTCAGCCTACTGTCAAACATTTACCTGCACACCTCTGGTGTAAGTGCTGAAGAAACCTTCTTCACTTAAAGAAGTTGGTAGGAACTGAAGTTTTGTTATAGCAATATGATGACAGATTCTAAAATCATAATGATCTATCATCAAAAATTATTTTTAATGATCTCTCTACCGACAAGTAGATTAGGCCCTCCTTCAATTCTATGGAAAGCAAAGATTACAAACCATTGGACTTGCAAAAGGATTTCTTATTCTGGCATGAGATTCATTCATTTTTTTCCAGTTTCTTTCCAAATCCTATTAAGAATAGCTGGAAATAATTGCCGACCTTTAAATCTATGGGAAACAACATGGTCAGCATTTGAATCTGTCAAGGCTGTTTGCCTCAAGAGACTTTTACTCTTTGATAACATTCAAGGGATGAAACAGGGAGAAATCACTCCCAACACTCCACCCCACAAAATATATGAATTTGTAACATGCCAACAGAGGCCAAAATACCCAAATTCTAAAGCCACGTTACACCCTTAGATTTATGTAGAAGTCAGGGAGAGACAGGGCTAGGCACCTTTTGTACTTTGATCATCATAGGATGTTTCCCCCAGGAATTCCAGCAGTACCTGTGCTTGGGACCCCCGAGAATTTTACCATCTCTCCCCAATGTTAGGAAGATGAGGGGTGAGGGGGACACATAACTTTCTTTTTTAAAGGGCAGAAGCTGAGCCGAGAATGGAGATAAACTTGCAGACCAGTTCTCAGAGAGATCAAACTTTTTAGAAAGTTCAAAATCTGGAAAATAGCATCCCTTAAAACAGAGGTTAGCTACCCTGAGACCAAAGTTGGCTGCCCCTCGCCTATTTTTGTTCAGCCCACTGCTAAGAATGATTTTTCCATTTTTAAATGGTTGAAAAAAAGTCAAAAGAATAATACTATTTTGTGACACGTGAAAATTATGTTAAATTCAAATTTCAGCGGCCATAAATAATATTTTATTAGGACATGGCCATTGCTCCTTCCTAGTGTTCAGGGCTGCTTTTGAGCTAGGACGCTCCAGTTTGAATAGTTGCCACAGGGATTGTGTGGCCCGCAAAGCCTAACCAAGCCGAGAAGATTTAGCGCTTTACAGAAAAGTTTGCTGATCTCTGTCTTAAAACTACCTGTGTTCACGTCCCATTCGGAAAGTCTTTCATACGCCCAGAGGGGAGCGCACCCGGTTGGAAGCGTTGGTCTAAACCGAAGACCCTGGGCATTTCCTTCCCGTCCCTGGGCCTCAGTTTCCCCAACTATCAAATGGAGTTAGACACGGCGATCTCTGTGGGCCTGCCTAGCAGCGGACCAAATACACCAAGGGGGTGGGAGCTCCCGGAGGAGAGGTCTAGAGGTCGACCGGGCCGGCGCGCGCGGGGCGGGTCCCTCGGGGTTTCCAGAGCCGCGGGCGGGCGCAGCGCCCCGCAGGCCCAGATTTCGCGGGGGAATTCCGGGCGCGGTGCGGGCGGCGGGGGCGGGCTGCGGCGGGGCGGGGGGGGGGCCGGCTGCCTATAAGACGGGCCGCGCGCCCGCCCGGGGCCACTCGTCCAGCCGCGCGCCTTCTCCGCTCCGCGGTACTATGGCCCCCGCCCGCCTGCTCGCGCTGCTCCTGCTCTTCGTAGGCGCCCCCGCCGCCGCCGAGTCGGTAGGCGCTCGGAGGTCCCCCGGGGGGGGAGGAGGGCAGATCGGTCCCTCCTTTGTTCCCCGGAGCCTGGGATTGGGGGGCGGCGCGGGGGAGTTCGAGGGGCTGCGCCGCCTCCAGCTGGACGCCAAGGCCGGGGAAACTTTGTTGGAAACTTTGCTCCGGGGTCACAGGGAGGCTCCCGGGTGGCTCCTCCGCGCGCCGTGCGTCCCCAGCCTGTTGCTCTTCCCGCCTCCCCTGGGCTCAGCCCCGCCGCGGGCTCCGGGCTCGGACGTGACTAAGCCGGTGTCAAGACTTCAGCCCCCACGCCCTCGTGCCTTCCCTGGTCGCAGCGCTGGGTCCCCCTCCTCGCCCTCTGGGCGCCCTGAGCGGGCAGCTGTAGAATCCGAGATGGCCCGGGCATGGGGGCTGCGTGTACTCGGAAGGGGAGGGGTTTGGGGCTCTCCTTCACACGCGGGGGAGTGGAGAACTGAGCCCTGACCTCAGTTCTGGCCCCGGCCCTGCCATTGACTTGTGACTTAGTGCAAGGCCCTGCCCCTTCGGAGTCTCTTTCACCATCTGCGCAAAGGGTATGGGGGAGCGGGGCAGGAGGTGACTGCTGCTGCTTCAGGGTTCCTAGAAAGTTGGGGACTCCGATCTTTCAAGGGCAGAGGGGAGGGATGGTTTAAGCTCAGCACTCGGCCAGGAGTTGAGCTTCTGCTTTCTGCAAGAGGAGCACTTGTTCATTTTTGCCGACATTCAGATGGGAAAGTTGAAGCGTCCACCTTGAGTAGGGTGAAGAGAGCTGGGGGGAGGGAAGACCTCAATGAGCCCAGAGAAACTTTTCCTTCTCATTGTCCAGTAGTCCCTGCCACAGTTTGCACAGCCCTGGGCCAGCAGAAGCTCCATCCATCCTGGTGGGAGGCAATCATCTGGGAAATTGGGGGCATGGGAATTGCTGGGAAAGGGAATCTCTCCCCGCTCCCGCCTCCCCCTCCTCCCAGCCTGGGCTTTATGTCCTTTAGCCCCAGTTTTTAGGGGCTATGAGTCCCTGGAGTTTAATCATTAATGTTAATTTCGTTGAAAGCCTTAGGGCTCCTATTCCTCAGACCTTACTTAGGGGAAGGTTGATTTGGCCTGGCCAGAGCTCTTGTTGAGGAATGAATGAGACCCTGAGTGATACCACCCAGCACAATTCCAGGCATGCAGTGATGATAGCAAACGTTTAGAGCTTTTGGTGTGTCTGGCACTGTTCTAAGAGCTTTCTAATGGTTCCCTCAACGATCTGAATTCTGACAACAACCCTACTGTTCTTAAACTCCCTGAGGCTAGAGAGGTTAAGTAACTTGCCCAAGGTGACACCCCTAGTAAGGGGCCAAGTCAGATCCAAATTTAGGCAGCCATGTTTCAAAGTTTCTTCTTTAGCTTAACTTCTAGCTGGCTGTTGTGTCACATCCTGGATAACTCAAGACTAGTTTAGAGTCTGTTGATATTTTAGGCTGGAAGGCCTCAAGGAGTAATGAGGTGGAAGGAAACAGAAACCCAGAGGGAGGTGATGGCTTTCCCAAACCAAGGGCAACCAGAACTAGAACCCAAGCCCTCTACCTCTGTGGTGCAGTTCTCTAAATGAAGCCCTGAAGGATGTGTTGGGGTCAAGCAGTTGGGGAAGCCTCTGAAGGAACACTGCCTGGGCAGTGTAACAAAAAAGAGGAAAGGACCCAGGTGGTTGCTGAGGTCACCATGGACAGTCACATGCCAGTCTCAGCTCAGGGCTGCTGAGCCTGCAGGTGCATTGGGGTGAGGAGCAGACAGCTGTGTACCAGGGGCAGTCAGAAGGATGTGGTTTGGGGGAGGGGGGTTGTGTCAGTGGTAGGTAGGGTGACCCATCAACTGGGGGAGATGTCAGCTCTGGGCAGCTGCTTCCTGAGAAAGATTTCTCATCCTGACCTCAGCTCCCCACTTCCCGACTAATGTCACAGACCTCCTGCCTCTAATTGGGGCACAAGACTTCCCCTTTTGCCCATCCCCCTCCTCCCTAGGTTGTGGCTGGAAAAATCAGACCTAGCCACAGTTGGCTTACGCCAAGGAAATGATCCGGTCTGTCCTTTTCATTTGGCAGGTGGAGAAAAATGAGGCTAAGGGAGAAGGGCTTTGCTAACAGCAGTTATGATTTATAGAGCACTTTCCATATACCAGGGCTGGTGCATTTTATCCTTACGAAAAGCGTAGCACGTGGGGATCATATTATGCCTGCTTTCCAGATGAGAGAGGCAAACTGGTACCACTTTGAGGTAGCAGAGAGCATCTAGAACACCAGAATCTCGAATAGTGACCCTCCCCTTTCATGTTGCCGCCCCCCCTCCCCCAATGCCACAGGTTTTGGGAAGGGAACCCAAGCTGAGTACCCAGCTGCCCTCTCTTCTGTTTGGCGGGGTTTGCCATCCTAAACCAGTTCTTCCTGTCCAGCTGGGAGCATTCCCTGATCCGCCTTCCTGCCACTCCCTCTCTGGCCAATTAAAGGCAGCCTTGTTTTGGGAACCCCCCCCCAAAGGTGTTGCTGCCCAAGGGCACGGCCCACCAGCTTGGCACAAGGCCTAGGCAGTTCTGGGGAAGTATCCCCCACCCATCACATGTACTTCAGGTGAAAGATATTTCTGATCTACTTGAGAATTTTCTTGATGGCATGGAAGTAGGGGTGGCAGCGGAAGCATATGGGGTTCTAGGACCGTTGAGTGACCAGTGAGTGCTCTTGAGACATCTCAGAGCCCAGAGAGTTACCAAACACCCAGGAAAATATTTGGGCCATGCTTTGGAGGGCTCTGTGAGGTTGGCAGGAGGTCCCTTTCCTTCTCTGGGGTGACATCCCCCATCTGTAAAGTGAAGGGTTTGAGCAGGATGGCCTCCAGAGGCCTTTCCAGCTCTGAATTTGATTAATAATTAAGTACCTACTATTCAAAAGGGGCTGTGGAAACCATAAAGACATCTAAAGTATTCCCTCCCTTGAAGAAACTTATGGTTCCTGAGAAAATTAACTCCATCAAATTTCTGAGTCCCACCACCATCCTCCCACCCCACTTTCCACCCACTTGCACCCAGGGTAGGAACTCTGCGCTCTTGGTTATAGTGAGATACCTGTCCCCTGGTGAATTCTCAGGAAATGTTTGTATGAATGAAGAAGTTCATGCATGTAACTTCATTCTAAAGGTGCGTTAAAGTTACTTATTACTAAAATGAATGTCTCTCAGTGATACTGAGAGGTGGGTACTATTATCTCTGTTTTTACGGGAGACTGATGCTCAGAGGAATGTAGGGGCTTGTCAAGGTCAGAACCATATCTGACTGATAGGCAAGGTGTCTGTCCGGTTTGAGCATTCTCAGAGAATATCCCAGATAACGAAATCTCCTTGGTTTGAAGGTAGATAGATACCTTGGATCCTACTTAGGCATTGCTGGGTGACCTTGAGCAAACATGCCCTGTCTCTGGGTCCATGTCCCTAACTCTAAAATGAGAAGGTTGGACTATTGCCTTATAAGGGTCTGTCCTGCCCTAAGAGCCCTTGGTGAGGGGAGGGGACCTTTCTTGGCCTCCTTGGTAAACAGTCTAAACAAGTCCCAGTCTCAGAAGAGAAGTGGGGGGTGGAGTGGGGGACATTCAGCTCCTGCCATCCCAAGCTCCTAGAAACAGAGAGCTTTTCCAAGGACTTGGAGTGCTGAGAAGGCCTGAATGGGGAGCTGGGGAAGCCAGGCTGGGCTCCCAGCCCCAGCGCCCTGTTGGCAGGAATTGGCTCCTTGCTGTCCTTCAGCCCCCTGGACTGAATGGGTGGGTGTGATTTCCAAATGAACGCCTAGATCAGGGGAGGGGGCTGGACAGGGCTCTGTGAGTCACTGAAGGCCAGCGCAGGCTGCGTCACCCACTTCCTTTCAGCCTCTTGGCTAATGGGTTCGATAGCTGTGTGGCGGGGGTGTTGGAATGGATTGAGAGTTTTACCTTGTCCTGTGGGAGTCAGTGTCTGAGTGCCCAGGGCCTCGAGGGGACATACAGCAAATACTTGTGCTAGGCCTGGAACCTTCACAGCCCCTTGCCTGCATGGGGACTTTGACATTGCACAGGGTGCAGCCAGTCCTCAAGATTGGTCTTTAGACCTCTGCAGAGCGGGCGGTACTTTTTTCCCCCCTACTTAAAGCAAAACCGAGGCTGCATGTGGCCTGAGTTCACAGAGAAAAGCTGGTACAGTTCAGATTTGATTTGACCCCAGGATTCTTTGCTGGGGTGACGCCCACTCTTGCTTCTTGGGGCTGGCTGGAGGGCGCTGAAACATTGGTTTGGTGTTAGGCAGACCTAATTCCAGAGGTGTTAAGTCCTCCTCGTACCAGCTCCATAACTTTGGATGTGCTGCTCAACCTCTCGGAGCCCCAGAGTCCTGGTCTGTTAAGAAGATGGTGACCACTGCGGAGAGGCTTAAAGGAGATGACAAAGCTGCAAATAAAGGCACCTGGTATTGTGCCTGGTAGGGGGAAGTGTTAGTGACAATTCCCTTCCTTGCCCAGGCCACCTTGATGCCAGGTGGTCCCGTGAGGATTCCATGCCCAGGGCCCCTGGAATGCTTTTGCCCCTCCCTTTTGCCCCTCCCTTATATCTAACCCCACAGCTGGGAGGTGGGAAGGGAGGAGTCTAGGGTGGGGCCGATGGAGGCCAAATCTATTTGTTTGTCTTAGAAGTGGGCTGTTTGCTAATTATTGGATGGGTTTATATTTAAACAAGAACCAGTTCCTGGCAGCCCCACCTCTCCTACTGGGATCCGCAGGGGCCCCAGGCTGAGCAGCAGCGTGCAGCTTGGAGAGAGAGGGACCACTCTGGACCCTGCCCTGGACTCAGGGCCACCCTCCTGTGTTGGAGAGGCAGAGTTTCTAGTCTGAAGGAGGCTGAGCAATTGCAAATAGCGCTCTGGGCTTTGGGGGACGGAAAAGGTACAGTGTTCTGAAAAGCCAGGTTTCCATACATTTTCATTTCATGGCGCCCTAGA